TGCTTTATTCTTCCTTTAGATTACATTCAACTTTGTTTCACTCAGCTTGTGTTCTTATGTGGATTCAGGCAGTAGTACTGAAGCTCTCCAGTTCTGCTCAGTCTTTCAACCTGTAGGCCACAGGAAAGCTGTGTCTTTGCTGAGATAACGCAGCATAGTTGTGCCAAAGACAGAAATAATATGCACATCCTTTGTCCTATCTTGTTTTGACCATTGGAATTTGTGATAATCTACATACATCTTGATTTTTTAAAATTTTTTATTTTTTGTAAGTAAGTCATTTAATTCTTCTTTTTTTCCTAGTCTCTTTCATTTAATACATCTGTCCACCACGGATAGATGTTTTCTTCCTAACACTGAGTAATCACAAACAGCAATGAAAACGCACTGGCATTGGATATAACTGGAAACTCTCTCACATGTACATAGGAAACTGGACTAATGCTCCAATTCTTTGTGGATTGCAGTGGCAGAGTTATATGCAATATCCTGAGACCAAAATAGAATTGAAAAAATGCTCCCTTTTGCTTAACTGCAAAACAACTCTTTGGATGCAAGTCCCTTCTGTGCAAAGTCTTCCTCTCTCATTCCCTGATACTCCCCCATGCTTTAACAACTCTACTTTTCTGTTCCTGGTGTTTTTTTTTTTTCTTTCAGGTTTATTATGGTGCCAAGTGGAAACATGGGGGTATTTGATCCCACAGAGATCCATAACCGGGGACAACTGAAATCGCACATGAAAGAAGCTATGATCAAGCTAGGCTTTCATCTGCTCTGTTTCTTCATGTACCTTTACAGGTTAGTTGCAAAAATTGCTCTTAGAGAACAAAGGAATTGTCTACCAGCTATTTTTATCTCCTCTATTCTGCTCGTATAATTGCTGATGTTCATAATTGTCTTATCTTCTTGCATCCTGCTAAGCTTCAGTGATGTATTTTGACTGCCAGCTGCAAGCGTATCGTATGCCTTTATTCTTTCTGATCAAACATTGCTTGGAAAGTCAGACTAGTTCTTAATCTCAAAACAATGATAAATACAACATAGAGATTTACGTGATTTTAGCACTTACAGTAAGTGGCCTATTAAGAAAAAGTTTAATTAAAGTTTATTTTACAAGTTCTATTTGAGAAAATAAAGTTCATCAGGTTAAGTTAAAACCTGATGAGTTCTGTGATGGGGCTGCCTACAATCAGAGAGAAGAACTGCTGTTTCCTTCTGCAGTCCTTCATAAATAAATCAAGTACTTGTAGCTGCCTTGACTTTCTATTACAGAATCAAGTGCTGTTCCTACCTGCATGTGCTTCAGTAATACACTGGTCTTATGTTTTCTGTTTTATCACAGTATGATTCTGGCTTTGATAAATGATTGAAAAAGAACCATTAGCTGCCAAATTGGGTCATCACTCCAGTGACTGGTTATGGAGCCACAGCCACCTACCGAACATACCTAGATCAGTGGCATCATGCAGTATATTTTTCTTCTTTGAACAAAAAATATTTTCCTGTATTTTTAACATAAAATATTTTCAAAAGACATTGGATTTGTGTAGCAGTTTTTGTTCCTTTTTCTTTATTAATAACTCAAAGTGCTGTAGCTGTTGCTATTGTAAGTTGAAGTCCTTGCTTACAAAACTTACAGGAATAAAATGGTGAGATGGAAACACAGTTGAACATCTCAGGCAGACAGTAGTACCAGTTCTAGAACAAATTTAAGTGTAGTTCTGATGTCTGCTGCTTATTCAGTCATTTTATATATGCATAAAATGATTTTCTGGAAACATACATGTCAAATCTAGTATTTCAAAAATGTGGGTGCGTAATTAAGTCCTCGAATTTGTGAGTGCTAAGTACTTGTCATTCTTTCTTGTAGAGCTACAGTTAGAGTGTATTGGCCTTAATCTGTGTGCAACAGCTTGAGGCTTTGTTTGTTTGTTTGTTTTTGGTCAGGCAGCAAAAAGACAATACTGAAGCTTCCATTCAGTGTTTGTTCTAGGATAAGTTTGGCCCTCAGTTTATGGTAGATGGAACCCAAGTTAAGCTGTTGCAGGTATCAGGAACTATGTATGCTCATTAGAAAACAACCAGGGAAATAGCTACCACAGCTGCACATCAGTTCTGCTTGACACCACCCAAAACCAAACTCCAGAAAATACTGCCTTGTAAAGCTGAACCTGGGAGAGGATGTAGGTCTGTAAAAAGGAGAGAAATAGCATTTCAAAAAAGAAAGTCAGTAATTTTTTTAGTAACTTAGTTGCCTACTTGTTAAGCTATCTTACTCATATGCAAGGACAAGGTAAGGTATTTAACTTACAGCCTTTTACATTCCTGTGGAAAAATAAAAACAGATCTACACTTACATTGGTTTTAATCTATTAGAAGGTCAATGTAAGCTGCAATGTATCATGTAAACAGGATGCCACTTCATTTTAAAAGCTTTTGTTCTCTGTCTGGTGAAGTGTTTCTTCTGAGGTGTGAGCAGGAAAGGAAGAGTAAGAGAAAAGATTGATATCTATTAGAGAAAATGGGGGTAGGGTGTGCCTCAATTTGTGAGGAATGTAAAGTGCATCCTTCACCACCTCCCTTCTCAACATGAATTACATTACATAACCACAGCAGACCAATGAGAACAGTTATGGATGTTGTCAAATATGAAATGATACACTTTTTATGTATGCAGACTTTTTTTTTTTTAAATAAATCTTCTGATCATTCCTCTGTAATGAATTATAAGAGTTTGAAAGCCTCGGTCTCAGAGTCTAAAGTCCACAATTTTAAGCACTCTAGCATTTGAAGAAGGCTATTAAGTTCTTTTCCTTACCCACAGTCTATAATATAATTAGTTAGCTTCGTTACTACGTTAGTACTCAACTGTACAGTGAAAATACAGTTCATTTAAGAGAGAGGGATTAATTAAAAATAATACAGTTCCCCCTAATTCACTGATATGTTGTGGACTATTGATTATTTTGTTTGTTCTGTTAATGAATGTTTTATTCTAGAGCCTTTCTGTATTATGGTAACAGTACAGTAAGCAGTGGAATTAATAGGATGCGTGGAAGCCCTAGTAACCATTTTAATAAGCCCTATATAGGGGTTACCAATTGACTTGAAACTGACCCCATAAAAGCATGTCTTCACCTGTTTAGTATTGGTACAGCTTTATTCTAATTCTTCTTTGCTTCACAAGAAACTCCAAAGCATTTTGTACAAGTGCTAAGGCTTTTTTTTTTTGCCTATGAAGATATTATAGTAATATTACAGGTGGTGGCAGAAGAACTAGATGTGTACTAACTTTGGTAGTTAATCTTTGGAACATTCTCTATAAATATGTATTATACATACAAGGTTTTTCTTTTAAGAGGAGGCAGAAACTGAGGCTGCCATCTTTCTGTAAGGAGCAGAGAGCTTAAGCAAGTGCAACACATGGCAAGGTAGTAGAGGACTGCATGGGAAGCACAGGTGCTAAGGTGTGAAGCACAGAAGTACCCTACCTTGGAGTTTGGATTTAAGCTAATTATGAAGTGGTCATCTAATAGTAAGTTCTTTACATGAATTCTCTTAAACAATCTAATCTAACAAGTTAAAAAAAATACAATCACAATTCATTCTACATCCTACTTATGTCACAGCTCTTGGAAATCACGTACCTGTTTCTCTTACACTCTTCTCACCAGCCAGAGGCAGATGTAGGATGACAGGTGCAACAGCGTGTGGGGGTGGTGGTGGGGCACAGTTAAAGAAACTAAATTTCCTTCAGCTGCCATATGGATAATTTATGGCTGAATTGGGTCTGCAATCTAGCAACTCATTTAAGTACTCATGCCCCAGGGAAGCAGGAAAAACAAGTGCCTGGAAAGGTATAAGACATGCCCGTTCTGTTTGCAGCTGCATTTAAGGCACAGTTATACATGCACAGCTTAACCTCTAAGCAAGGGGATAAATATTAATTAAAAAGTGCTACTATGAGATGGCATAAAGACCATTTTTCTAATCCAGATAGAAGCTGAAAGGATTAAAAAAATGGAACACAATTTGCCAAAGTGTTCAAAGTTGGAAAACTTACAGGAAGTAGAAGGCAAATTTAGGTTCAGTTTTTGCTTATCAGAACGCTAGCTACAGCTGAACAACTCTGTCTGTGGTACCAGTACATACAAAATACAATGGCACCTCAACTTTATCCTGCAAGGTAGGAGGAGAAACAAGAATGCAGGGTTAGGTGGAAGGAAAAAAGAGCAACAGATAAGGAGTGGGTTCAAGAGCCACAAAAGCTGCTTAAATCAATTTCAGATAAGATGTTCCTGATGTGCAGCTGGTAAGAGAAGCCTAAGCAAGAAACAGAAGTACTTTAAGAGCACCTTCCTATTGTGGGAAAGAACTGTAGGTATAGATGGGTTATGGTCAGCAACCTGCTTATGATACCTGAGTAAGTTCCAGCATTAAGAAAGAAGGCTCTCATCCAGCCTCAAAGAGCAGTTGTTCCACAACATAAACAAGCACAGAATGGGGTGCAGGTGAGCAGCACGCTGAACTGCTTCCATGCAGTGGAAAAGTGGGAGGAGATCAGAGCCAAAAACTGGAGAGCTGCACACAGCAGTAAGAGAATTCATCTTCAGCTGAGCTGTCACAAGTGATTTCTCCTATCAAAAAATAAAATGCTGCAAATGTGGAAGAACTTTACAATTAATGATCAAGAAATGAACATCCCAGTGATAGTAAGTGAAGCTTAGGAAACTAAGAACTATTCATTCCAGTTATTTATTCTGTTTATTGAATTGAAAGAAAGGGAATACAAACATTTCTGTTAAGTGCTGTGCACCAACATGGAAAAAGTGTATTGTTTTTTTTTTAAAAATCCTAATAAAAACAAATCAGAAGTTAATGTAGTTCCAATTGAACCATTTGTAAAGATATGTTTAAAATACTACACATTTATAAAATAAAAAAGTTAAAACGGTGTTCTGTAAATAATTAGTAAAATGAGTGAAAATAAATACGAGACCCAAAGTTCTTATGTTTTTAATGTAATATAGCAAAGAAATTTTAACTACTTAATATAATCCGAGGAGAGTAACAAAAATCCAGAGTTTAAGAACGCAATCCTTTGAAACATTTAATATCAGTCCATAGCAAATAGTCATTACATACCAAAAGCTCTAAGTGTTAACTAGTTCCACCACAACTCCATATAAATCTTGACAACTTAGAAATCTTGAGATCAACAATAAAGTTCTTTTCTTGATCTCTACAGCTTGGTTTGTAAGTACATACATGCTTTGAGGATCCATTTTGTCCCATGTGTTTTCAAGGAGCCAATAACTTTTTCCATCTGTGCCTAAAAACGTTAAGATTCAAATCTAGCACATAGACCCTAACAATGAAAGATGTTTAAGGAAAAGATGGGGCACGATGAATTTCCAATTTATAAAAATATACTGATATTAACCAAAACCTTCAGGTCAGAGGACACTTCACATACGCACGACTCAAAGTATGCAATAAAACATGACAAGTACCTAGAACATTTGGTTCTATGTCTGTTTGTGGAACACACGCACGCACACATTCATACCAGATGGGAGGAACACTCTCACGGACTTCTTATTGAATCCAGATAACCTGGATCGACAAACAAAAAAACTTGTCTACAGTTCAACAACTAGAGGCAGCTACCGCAGCAGCAGTTCAACACTGCACACTTCAATTAAGTCCACCCTGTTTAAAAAAGTGTCAGAGTTAAGAAGTTCAAAATATCTTTAAAAGTAGCAGTTCTTTTGAAATTAAGTATGGCAGCTGAAAATGGTCTCCAGCCAACGTGGAAAAGACAGGAGGAGGTAAAAAGTGTAGCTATTTATGGGAAGGATGTTCCTCAATTGTCCCAAAGATAACAACAACAAAAAGAAAACCATTTAGCAAATACAGGTGTGTTTTGTAGCTAAAAAAATATGGACAAACTATTGAAAGTGCATTTCTCCTCCTCCCCCTTGAGTTACAGTAGTTTGTCAGTAAATCCAGCTTTTCATCTTCATTCCTCTTTCTCTACCTCCCCACGTGGGTCTACATTTCCCCTTCGAACTACAGCTAATTGTACGAGTCCTTGTTTCCTTCTAAGGAAGCCTTCATAACTGGTTCTGGATGGGAGCGCTGCTTATCAGCGTAAGGAGATACAACTAGACATAAACTCCCAAGCATACTGGGTTTTATTCAACATTACCTGTTTGAAGCCAAGATGAGAAGTAACAGGCAAGATCAGGAAAGCTTTCTAGCTTGCTCCTTTGCTCTAATCATAAAAATGAAGTCAGCTTTGAAGAACTTGAGAAAATACGGAGAATTTGAAATGAAGGTGTCACGTCCCCCTACTGCCCCACCCACCCAAACAAGGACAAATCTAGCATCACTGCTTGTTTTCCCTTTTGTGCTCCATTGTGCCTTGAAAATTACTTACCTGAACAGCCAAAGAGCATTCAGATAACAAAATGCTTCAGCTTTCTTTTTTTAAAAGATCTGCCTTGGCAATTACCTGTGGCTACTGCAAAAATTAAGCAAAGAGCTTACCAAAGAAAGTTAGGAAAGTGTAGTACGCTCTTACAGTATTTTCCTCTCTGAAACTGTTCACCAGAAACACAGTGTTTGTTGCAGGTGTGTGGTTGTTCCAGCCTGACTCCAGCCTACAAACATTTTTAAGCATGTGGAAATCAATGTGTTGCATGAGCAAGCTTGGTTTTTTTTCCCCCTCAAAGTCTCATTTTATCCTCTGCGCACAAAAAGTACTGGTACTTTTCAATTGATGCACTGTGAATACACAACATGTTAGAAACAGTCTGGGTTTCTCTTTAACTGCCAGGTTAGATTGGTTCTCACTACCACTGGATCTGCAGCACAGCTTCACTGAGGGACCAAGTACTGTGGTAAAATTCTCTCCTTTCTCTCATCTCTGCACGCTACATGGCACAAGCTGACATCTATGCAGTATGGTGGAATTGACATTGGAAAGAATGCCGTCTATACGATAAAGGAACCTTCCTTTATGTTGCATAGTTGCACCACAAAACTAAATTAAAGCAGAGATATCAGAACGCATTTCTAACTAACTTGCTTCTGAATACCTGTTCTTTAGAGGTACATACCTATTCCAGAAGAGGTCAGATTTTGGAAGAAGCGCTAGGTTCCAATTTTTATTTACAATGCATTGCAGCAGAAAGTAGAAATCAGCTCATACGTACCCACATATAGCTTGTACCAGGTAAGGAGTCTCACTTCGGTTTAGGTACTGCTAACCACATGAAAAATGCCTTTTGAAATGCATGTGAGACTTTCAGTCTAAACGAGACTTTGATCCTTCAACACCTGCCTGAAGCTTCCACTGAAGTCCAATGAGTATGAGGTAAGCAAGTGGTGCCAGACTGTTGTACGAGACACAAACCAGAACTGATCTCCCTCCCCTTTACTCTCCCTAAGTAACACTTCATTTAAAAATCAGAGCTTCAGAGTATGACAAAACAGAGGTAACCTCTGAAGATTCCCATGCTACCATTGCTTATGAATTATACCATGTTTTGAAGATGTAAAACACTGTTTTTGGTGTGGATTTGTTTGTTTTTAAACCAGAAGTTAGGTTTACTAAAAACTGACCGTAGGAAAACTTTGTTTCCCTGCAATATCAGTGCCACAGGAGAAAGACTGACTAATCTTATGCTGTCCAACATAACAGCAACAGAAACACCTCCTCTAAAATGAGAGAATGGGAGAGAAACGGATTTGTAGCCTTCAATTTACATATATACTACTCAGAACCTACAGGAATAGTTATTACTATCCCAGCAATTCACCTTAAGACAAACTTAAACTGAAGATAAGAATGTTAAGTTCCTACTTCATTTTGGAGGTACTGAACATGAGTATGTCAGATTCAGAGCTGGTTTCAACGAGATTATCAGAATCTTAAATCATCTTGCAGATTACACAGGGCAAGGAAAAAAACAACCAACAAGCCAACCCACCCAATTACTGAAATCTTAAAAAGAAAAATCTGACCTGCTGAACTGCACTTCATTTTTCTTGGGAAGGAAAAAAAAAAAAAAAAGAGACTATTTATGTTAAGCACCACATTCCCACTCATCAAAGTGGCTACATGCTCTTCCCAGGAACTCAGGCAAACCTTCCCTCATCCTTCTTCCATACATGACTAATGTCACTAGATTATTGTGGATCTTGTGAGTTCACACTTCCATTCACATTGTCCTTGGTGGCATGCCCTCTCCTGCTCCCTCATTACTTCAGAGCACTAACAACACTACCATTCTACCCAAGGTGGGAAAGGAAATCCAGTGCCATCCCACAAGGAATTTGTGTGTAGTGCAGAAGCATAGAGATGCCAGGCCATCTGTTTATTATTAAAAAAAAAAAAAAGAGCTTCAATTATAAATGTCTCTTTTTGCTAAACATGGCATATTAGTGGAACTGTTCCAAAAAGCATTAACGTGTTCACAGCACCAGCTTGCAACAATGTCCAGGAGAGACTTTTAAGCCTGCAAACTTAGAAGTAAATTCTCAAAGTCTAAACATCTTTGTTTACCAAATAATAAAGAAAGTTTTCCATTGCAAAACAAGTTATCTATGATTTGAATGTTCATTACTTCTACAAAATGTTGACTTTGCAAATAAAGAATTCAGCACATTCTTCTGTTGAGGTTTACCTTTTATCAGTATTGTTGCATATATTTATATAACTAAAAAAAAAAGACCTTGTCTTGTTTAAGCTCTTAATCTCCTGGTGTACTCTGAACACTTCTTTGTTTCCCTAAATAATACAATTTATCTTTTCATATGGACAGTGAGTTTCTCCTTCTGAAACAAGCTTTGCTGCCTACGTAAAGCTCCTTGCAGCCACTGCTTTTGATTGGGTGTCAAGACACTCTGGAAGAGCATCAGTGATACCACATTCCACATTTCTTCTTGCATTGGTTTAATTCCAAATGTATACAAATGAAGTCATTTTAATCCTATAAATAATTTATTTTTAAAAAATTGTGCTGTTAACCCCTTTGCAGGGCAACGAGCTATGTGAAAAGTACAAAACTTTTTGTCAAATGTGATATTGAGAGTGCTTTTGACATAGTTCATTGGTTTATCTCAATTTATATATACTGCGCAACGGGCAAGGCTAGAATCCATGAACCAAGCTGCAAAGATCTCAAGCTAAGTAAGGCGGAGAGATTTGAGAAACAAGAGAAGGAAATACTTTCCTATCCAATGTATACTCTTCAGACTAAAGCACTCTTTCTATCAAGCCTTCTAAACTCTTAAATAAAGTGTTCCAAACAAGCATTTAAACTTCATTACACAGAAGAGCAACAAGAACAGTAGCCTGCCAGACAAAAAGGCAGGAGGGAAAAATATATACTGAGTTCAATGGTTAGCCTGAATGTAGCACAGTTCTTCACAACCGATGGGGGGTAATTTCAACACGGTGTCCAACAACGTTCTAACGACGTGCTTCATCTTGACTGGTTACTATGAAGCAAGGTGGTAAATGTTTGGCCCCAACCGGGCTTCAGAAATGGTTCTTTTTCATGACGAGCATGTCTGTCCAGCTATCAATCATGTTTGTTTGCACCAAATCCCAAGCCATTTAAAATACGACTAATTAAGTTAAACTGAAGTCGTCTGCTCCAAATTCGCCATCAACTATCCATGCTACTGCATTCCTCTGAGCAAAAACAAAAACACAAGAGAAAAAAAAAAAAAATCAAACCTTGAAGATCTTATCAACAGTTAGCATTTCTATAATTACATTACATAAATACACTGTGTTAAGTGTTACTAAGCATGCATAGTTATACTGCAAGTTTATAATGCAACTAAATCCCATAGTAAAAATTAGCAGGTTTAGATATCATCACTCATAATACCTAAACTTAGCACGTTAGCTGTTGGTACATGAAAATTGCCTCTTGCAAAATAGACCACAGAATAGAATCACCAAAGTTGGAAAAGACCTTTAAGATCATCCAGACCAACCATCCAGCTATCATCAATATTTCCCACCAGCCCATGTCTCTCACTACAACATCTAAACGTTACTTGAACACCTCCAGGGACGGTGACTCCACCACCTCCCTGGGCAGCCTGTTCAATGAAGTACATACATTTACATTCAAGTTCCAGGGGACTGTGCTAATTACAAAGCTGCCTGCCACCAATTTAAAGTTCCCAAGTTGCTGGAGATATGTTCTGTGCACCTACATTTCTTGTAGATGTACTGCCACGAGAAATCCAGTTTTTATCATTTCTATTTTTAATAGACTTTAATAAATTATTTTCTGGAGAAACTAAGAAAGTAAGTAGGCAGGTAACTGGAAGAAAACAAAAATCCAAATACAAGTGAAGCAAGCTGGAGCATAGGCTTCAGGTCTGTGTGTTACGTTCAAGATGTTACAAATGAGACTGGCAAGGCTGGTCAACCTAATCCAGTACTAGAAATAGTCAGAAAGCATAGGAACAGGGAAAGGAGATGAATCTTAGTCTTAGCATCCTTCCGACTTCCAGCCACTTTCACCTGAGGGACATTCTGAACTAGAAGTGTTTACTCATCTGCTTTCACTTCATGGATTTCTCTTTGATTACTTTGTTTGGTTCCCCTTGAAATAACACCCACACTCAGCATCCAATACAGGGCAACTTAAAAGACAGAAGTCTACAAGCTGTACAACCAATCATGTACAGCTTGTAGGATGCAAAAATTCCACTCTCCAGACTCAGGAGAACACTTGCGTAAACACTGTAATAGCACGATATTTGCTCAGAATGCGTTATTTCAATGTTAATGACATTACATGCACTTCAAGCACTAGGGGCAATGTTTAAGAAGTCTACACAAGTTAGTCAATGTAATAGTGAGGTCTCAGTGACATCGCAGTTTACTATACGGCCATGTAAGAAATTGGGAGCATCAGTTTGGAAACGCTTCTCCACAGCACAGAAAACCCACTGAGGCAGTTGATAGCAATTAGAAAACAGTCATGCACACACACACACACACACACACACACACACACACACAGACACACTCACCTTCAATATCCTGGTTGTCTACAAAAGGTGCTGGTCCCCATATTCTAACAGTGCCATCATCAGAGGCGCTGGCCATCATGGATGGAATCTGCGGGTTCCAGCTCACACAGTTAACAGTACGTGTGTGCCCTGTCAGCTCCGCAATTGGCAGCTCGCTACGCTTGTGCCAAATATATACTTTGTGATCTAAAGAAAACGTGCATTAAAGAAAAACATGAGAAACATTGCTCTACACGGATCAGTTTGTTATATCAAGCAGCATTTCCATGCAAGCTCTCAGCCATTACAAAGACATGAGCATTCTTATAAAACCTGCATCTGTTGAATGGGCAACAGCACTACATTTTTTTCTTCTGAAAGCAATCAAAAGAGTATGGGCAAAGATCTTCCACTGAGGGCATGCTGCTTCCTTTTAAGCCTCGCAGGAAAAACATGTGACTGTAATGCAAATAAGCCAATACATAGATAAAAAACAAGCTGAGCTACTTACTCTTAAGAATATATAGTTGTAATCTTATTCAAAGGGAACACTTACATTATTACTAGTTTTTTAAAAAAAACAATCATATTTACAGATTAAGACCTGATTATAAATCACAAATACTAGAATATTTACAACCACATGTTGCTATACACTAGGATGAGATCACAGCTCTGCAGTTATGGAATAAATCTTGCTACTAGAGACTTGCCATATTCCACTTAATGTATCAAATTACAAGCTATTTCTTGATTTTGACAACAATTCATTCCTGAGTTGTATTCAAGTACAAATAGATGCAATAAACAATCCCGCAGATCTTATTTTGTGAAAGGAAGCTTTTAATTCTTTGTTGCAAGATAGAACAAGAAATGAAAAAGTGAAAAGGTCCACTCCACTGCCATTTTTTTTTAATGTTTTGTTTTATAACCAACCATACTTAAGACTAAGCATTTTTTTCCTCCCAACAGTAGATTAGCAGCCTTTAACAACCGTGTGGGTTGATCTTGCTAAGTAAGCCTTTGGAATACTCCAAATAGAGCTATTTAAACTGAACAAGCGTGCATTATTGGCATTACAAAAATAGTAAGTACTAACATACTGACTTGAGCATCATTTTGTCTGTTTTTTAATCTGTTTGGAAGGTTTTGATGCATAAGTCATTCTGAAGACTTATCAAACAAAACAATCCTTCTCTACTCCTCTTCCCAATCCCCTACAGAACAAACTTGCTTTCTGACCTACCTGCTAGAACAGCATCACGGAATCATGTGATAACTCAACTGTCTTCTGCTGAACCAGCTCGTTTGAGTACAACACTTTTACACACACTTGTATTAACACAAATGTTCTGGTTGATTTCAGGAGACTACACATCCACGCTATTCATCAAATATTCATCAAACAATTCACTCTCTGCTTAAATACTGGACACGCAAGCCTCTGCTGTCTAGGAGAATCAAAGCCTAAACACAAACCAGTATTTTGGTGCTTGTCAGAATGTCTGCATTTTGTTTTTGAAAAAACATACTAGTAAGGCAGCAGTCGATTTCCCGTTCAGAAAGAGACCTTCGTTTTCTTCCTACTGATTAATTTGTTAGGAAAAAAAGGTCTACCTAGCTGACAGGGCAACCTCCTAAGCATAAGAGGTTATGACAATGTAATCCATTACATTTTTGTTTCATTGTTTTGGTTTGTTTGTTTAAACAGTGACTTTTTGTCAGTAGCCACATTTGCAACAATTCCAAATTGTGCAGAGGCAATAGCCTCAGGTAGACCAAATCTAAATAAGGTGGCATAAGCATCTACAAGTGCCGAGTAGTTTACAGACAGTGAAAACAGGGAACTTGCTGATCCCTAGAGGTTTGCACTGGATTGGAGATGCTGACCTTCAGTTAGTATCATCTACCAGCAGCCCTTGTCAGAGAGTAAGATTTTAGATGTATTTGCTGTTTTCTAAAAGAGGACATTAGCAATGTCCTGGTCCTATTTTCTAACATACATGAGTTACACAGTGATTATATTTCAAAGTGTAATCCTTAGCCCTGCATGTAACCTCTGTGGGAGGTGATGGCGTTACATCAGCGACAGCACTGAATCAATTCGAGACACAAGCCATTAATAATTTCTTTCCTTACCACAGAAAATGTGAATAAAAACACATCACACAAAGCCTTTGATTCTAGAAGGGCTCCTTAGTAATATGTCAGCAACTGCTTAATTTGAGACTACTCCTTTGTAATGAAGCTGGCAACTCTGACTGAAATTCAGATCACCTCACCACACCTGTACCTTCAACAGGCAAATGAGGCTATTACTCTGTGGTAGTATTTCTGATTCAAGCCATAAGTGCATCCTTCCACAGAAAGAAAAAACCCTCAAGAACATCCCACCCACTTTTAATTAAAACTGTTCAGATGCTTTAGAGGACAACACAATAAATTCATTAGTGCTTTCTCCTGGCACCAATCTGTCAAAAGATTCATTCTGCTAGCACACAATTACTTCTTGAAGTATGCTATAATCTTGGTGCTCCTCAGACTTATTTAATAAACCATTTGCTTGTTTTTAGAGATTGCAGATGCTAACGTTATAACAGCAAAGTATAGGAAGGATACAGCATTCCAGTTTTCTGTACAAAAGGGATGATGTTACCTTCGCTGCCACTCGCAATGAAGTCTTCATTATGACCCCCAAAACATGAGTGAATTGTGTAAAATCCTTGTGTAACTCCTTGATACTTCCTCACTAAAACTCTGTCTTGTAAGTCCCATAAGTGAACTCCCTGTGAATCAGAAGTACAGAAGATTTTTTGTTTTAAACCACTGAACTTTACCCACTGCATTCTTTTGAAACTTTTTATAAAAAGTTTAAATGTGATGAAAGTGCACTACTTCAGACAACTTTGGTAGTGTTACTAGATCAAGAGAGTAAAGATACTCTAAATTGCTAGCTGCAACTTCCTGGCTGTAGCACCATCCATTTTGAAAACTATACTTAATCAAGGTCCCCAAACCAGAAATACATATAATTTTAATTTAATCCCAACACCTCCTCTATTCACCCCCAGATATGTCAACCTCCCACAATTCTTGCATTTTCTGGTTTCTCTGTGTTACTGCCAGATAATTACATTTAAGAATACATTTTTCATAGTATTAAAGCCTTGATTATAATTCACTTCAAAAAGTCAGTCTCAAGGATAAAATTACTTTCTTGTCACAGAATATTCACAAATGTAGTATGACATTAAGGTTTTCATATTAAACTAAATACAACTGGTTAATATCAAATATTCCAATTTCCATCAAGATAAATGCAAAGAAAATTAAAAGCAGTAAGTACTTGCAAACAGATTTATTGGCAGTTCCATTTGGAGTTGTCACAAACTCACCTGAGTTGCTACATTTAACAAAGCTAAGCGGCCATTTTTTGAAATAGTAAACGACATTATAGGGTGATCCTCTTGTACTCTGAAATTGAAAGACATCACTGTTAAGAGTATGCTTAACCAAATAATAGTGCAACACCATGACAAAGAGTATGTCCCATCTCTGCACTTCTATCAGCAGAGAAAGACAGTGCTGAATTTGAATTTCTATTTGATATTTAGTATCATCTCTATGTCAATACTAGCCAGGCCTGCAACAGTTTGTTAGTTTTCTTATACTTATGATAAATTCCAGGACTAAATGGACCTGATGCCTCAAATACAGCTCCTAACTTTAAAGCAGGATATATTAATGGATGGATATACTATATATGTGAGGCAATCACAACACAACAACAAAAATGCCAAAATATTGACGAGAAAACTCCTGTGCTTACAAAATTGTTTCTAATACTTGACCTAACACATCTAGCTGCAGTTGGAAACCACAAATTTTTATCCCATGTTATTCTCCATTTAATACAGACAGCATTCCAAGAGCATTCCAAGAAGTTGTTTCTCATCCTGCCCCACACACTTTCTCAATCTTCTCACACAGCCAGGAATTCAAAACCTGATACTTACATGTTCCTGTCTGTAAGATCCTCAAAGTTATAACCCCGAATTCGCTGGTGTGTGTCCGACGCTAAAACAGTTTTTCCATCACTCAAGCACCAAAGACATTGTACTCTGACCCCTTCCCAGGAGTCAAGGAGATTACCATCTAAGTCCTGATCAGAATGAATAAATAGATAGATAAACAAGCTTTTAGGCTCAGATTTCTGGAGGAGTTATGCAACAAACATCTTTTCCACCCTCTGTTCACACAGCAGCTACAAAAAGCAATCTTACCATTTAATGAAGAGGACTTAATGATTTAGGACTTGGATTGGATTAACTGAAGACCTTTGTAACTATCTGTCCTGGAGAGGTGTGAATCCCCTTCTTTGCACATACCAAACCAGAAAAGAAGCAAGTACTTCATGTCAGGGAGCAATCTGCAAGCTCACTTATGCAGTGAGTGAGGCTTGCATACAGCAGCATCCTTCCGGACACCAAGTCAGATGACAATTAAGAGTACTGGTGAGACTGCAGAACACTATCTAAAAATTAACACTAATTATCAAATGAGGGCTTCAAATTTCTGTTTACACTAGGCAATGACAGCATGCAAAAACTAAAAGAAGGCATAGAAAACTCTAAGGAATAAACAAAATATATGGGCAAAGGCACTGCTTTTTAACGGTCTGTTTTCAAAAGAAGCTATGACAAAAATTTCCATCCCACCAATCCTCCCTTATGCAAGGTAATTGCTTTGTGAATGCGTTTGAGCCCTTCTGACTAGTACACAGAAACAGAAATGCAGCTGAAATAATAGCATCCGTGTATTGTACATACAAATTTCAGAGCACTTGAAGGGTTTTTTTTTTTTTAAAGCTTATCTGTGAAGACTCATTGTTAATATACACACAAAAGAAAATTAAAAAAAAAAAAAAAGCATCAAAACTCACATTGGACTGCGACAAAATGTTTCTTTCTATCTTTGTTTTCAGTGTGACAGATACAGAGAACTTACACACTGATAGAACTGTCCACGCTGACCTCCTGTTACAAAACGCTTCCCATCAGGATTCCAGGCCACACTTGTTAAACTGTCTTCATGAGATTGGCTCATCTTTGTCCTCAGCTCCCCAGTCTGGAAAATAAGGACAGTAATGCCCGATACCAGCCAGGAGAATCCTCTCCTAAAATGATACTGATAACTTTATCTAATTTGCAGTACCTGGAAGTACACACATTTCAACACTAATTTAAGAAACAAAACAAGCAAGCAAGCAAACAAAAAAACCCTATGAATAACGCAATAAAAAGAGAGAGTTACCACAGCATCTCAAGCATTTCCTCAGACTTGGGGAAATTTATCATTTTGTCCCTCAAAAAGAGGGGTGAAAGTAGTGGGTACATCAGACAACTGTGAGATTACAGTTTAAAGAGGGGAACTCAACTCAGAAGAAAGTGTAAGACCAAGATATGCAAATACAAAATGAAACAAACCAAAATGTGGGGAGTGAGAAGGCTACAGTAGAACAAAAGAAAACAGATGACAAGACTGTGTTTAGTAAAAATATACGTATATATTCACAACGTTTTCCTCACTAAGTTGAAGCTCTTCATGTCAAACTTCAGCTTTTGTGCCCAGCTCATAACACTGCTGTTTCACAGGACAGAGAGCCAACAAATGGCTTACCATTGCCAAAACAGTAAGGGTTTCTCTCTACTCCCTTGTGCCAGCTCTAATGCTCTTCACTGAGCCAACTTACTTCACTAAGCCAATTAAATAAATTGAAACAGAACAAAAGTATTTCAAGGGTGGAAAAAAAAAAAACCTTTTTTTTTTTTTTTTTTTTTTTTTGTTTCTAGGGAACTAAATTAGTTCAGAGTCTAAACAGTGCAATAAAGACTATACAGCCTACAGCTGAAGCCAGTGAAGCTTTTGTATCAACTCAGCTGCCCATAAAAATCAACAGCAGAAAAGGGTTTTCAAAGACATGGAGAAAATAACCAAATTCCCTATTTTCTGACTGAAAGACAGAACTTTGAGTCTCTGTGGACCTTTCACTAGAATTACTGGGAGGGTGACACAAAACAACAAGAAACAAATTAAAAGATGCACACTATTTCTAAAATCTTCTGCTAGTTATTTCTTTCCTTAGATTGTATTTCTGTCCTGTTTCTTTTTATTTCTGCTGTTCTTCTCTTCAGTAGCTCTCTATGGTCTTGTGGAATTGTGCAATCCCTTCTTAGAAATGAAGAGTCAGTCATCAGATACACCGGAATTGCTATGCAGTCTCAGGCATTCAGACTCCAACTCTATTTTCAGTTCTGTACAAAACGAGTACAGAACTTGTTGGCTGTTTCCCAAATTAGGGAAGAAGTTTAGTCTGTTTTCTATATGCTCACAGTTTCGTACGGAAAGTTTGAAGAATTCATATCCTTCATGCTTAATAGATTTATATATATCTACCTTAACATACATCTTCTTTTAAAAAAGCTGCAAGCTGACCACAGTTTTATTTTTTTATACTCTGAGTCACCACTTACTTGTACATTCCAGAGCCAAAGCTCAGAACAATCATCTGGGCCACAGGCAACAAGATAGTTGTCATCTGGACTCCAAGCAATATAAGAGACTCCATATGCATGACCTTCTAATGTCTTAAGTAGTTTTAGCTGGTGAGTATCCTGAAACAAGAGAGATTCCGTTGAGGCAACACAAATGAGCTCCTACCACATTTCACATGTACAACATGTTCAGGTACAGCACGGACACTTCGCTTTATGCAACTTGGCACAGGCATTTTACAAGTCCACTTTACAAGTCATGTGAATAAGTTCTTACTGGAAAAGCAGTTGATAGTTTATAGAGTATGACCATCAGACAAAAGCTTGTGCAAAAATAGAAACAAAAGCCAAAAATGAAAAGCAAACAAGAACATGTAGGTATTTGGTTCTAATCTTCCATGACTCTTCTGAACGTGGAACTCACAAAATGTTGTTGTGTACAAAGTCTTATGTTACATGACACTCAATACTACAGAAACCTTACATGCCAAAACAAGTCCCTACCTCTACTGGTACACAGAAGTACGATTATCCATATTTTACAGAATTAAGTTACTTTCTTAAAAGTAAAGCACAAACATGTTGGAAAACTGTTTTAGTTAAGCAGAATTAATAACCGAAACCCTCATCGTTAAGGTTTTTTTTTAAATAACCTGAGTATATTTGTGCACTGGTCAAAAAAAGATTTCACAGATATATCTTTAAAAGCTCACAAGTGAGGTATTCCTTTTCTCAGAAGCGCTGCCTACAACAACCTCTGCACCCTTTCCACAGACTCTATGAATGAAGCATACTTTGCACACACAGAAGTATCTTACAAGAGCTTTATCTTAGAACTGCTCTAATGCTGATTTGTCAAAGGAACTTGACTTTCAAGCATCTTCTTATGAGGATAAGTAGTACAACTAGATACTGTGAAAAAAAATCACACATTAACTTCTGAATTACAGTAACACACTGCATAGAATAGATCTTGCTGAATTGCTTACAACAATTTTTGTGAAGGTTTCTTTGGTTGTTTTTTTTTCTGATTTTGTTTGATTGGGGAGGGGGTTGTTCTTGCTTCATACTTCTCTTCAAAATGAATCTGACTCATTTGAAGGTGTTTGATTTCTCAAACTGTCCCATTTTCACTTGTTTTAGCATTAGGCAGAGCATCTCTTGACTTGGGATTCCAGAGAAAGAATATTATCAACAGAGAAAGAGCCTGACGTGGTCTATTTTCTGGGATCAGCTGCAAGGGATTTAACAACTCCGTCAGCCTGAAGCTTTCCTCATTCTGCTGGCTGAAAAATGCCTCAAAAGAAAATGGGCTAAGAACAATCTTCGAAGAACAGAAATAACAGGAGCAAACACACAGACTTTCTCAAGGCCTCTCCTATTTCATTCTGTTCATTATTCCTTGGTCTACATTAGACACTGCCAGGCCTCTATCTGAACCGATCTGAAAAGGAACTGAGTCACATCTGACACCTCTCATCCTGGAGCTTCTCTGCAAGTGCTGCATTTTTTTTTAACTAATCCCAGTGGAGGGGTAGCCTGCCACTTCTACAGCACCTCATTTGAGAGGCAAGAGGAACAGGACGTGTATCATTTTTTCCTTACAATGATAGGAATTGTGGCTGTCACTCTCCTACTGCTCTCATCCCTTTCTACAAATACAATAGGACTGCTATAATTTGTCTTGCTCTCACTATAACAGCAGGTATTTCAGGTAAACGTTCCCAAATTTAGTCAGATTGCTTCGCATCTGTCACCTAAATAAATCTTAGCAATTCTACCCCTTACATATAACTTCCCAAATTTTTGTTATGAAGAAGAAAAGACTATTCAGCTATTAAGTCTGTAATGATTAAGCTCCTTGGCTGAGAAGTCAAACATCTGTCAATAGTTTTTGAGAAAGTGTAGTAAAAAACAAGTTCCAGTAAGAAACAAGTTAAAGGCAAACTCTACCAAAGGAAGATGCATTCCAGACAAGACAATGTAATGCTTGTGCTTTAGAGATTCTGCCACACTTTATAACAGTCAAATAATGCATTCCACACTCAAATCTAGTTTACTCAAGGTATTATTTAATGCTGCTGAAAGAACAGCAAAATGAGCAAATGATAATGAAAACAGAAGCATGGGTTAAGACAGTTTAGATGACAAATAGATGGGTCTTAGGAAGTAATATATTAGTAATATATTAGTAATACATTAGTATGGAAAAGAAACACATTTAGAACAGTGTGCCCCTATCACTGGCCCAGAATTGGATGGTTGTTTCTTTACAGCTTATACAGGCAGATTAGAATAAATTTATTTACTTAAAGGCAGGAGAATCTGATTAAATTTATTACTCAAAAGACACTGTCAGCTGCTACAGGAAATGTGAAAAGCATGCTCTGGCAAATTTGAAATCAGAGTTATGTGACTTCATATTATTTAGAAGCCTACCTCCTTGAAATGCTTTAAGAGATTTCCCCCCCCTGCTTGTACTCAAATACAGAAAGCAGAACTGTACACAGCTTTTCGACTCTTTACTGGAGATTTTGTTCCCATAACAACCCACAAATCTAAGTGTTAAGATAACCTAAAACACAATCTGTTTATTTGGTTGGGTGGCAATTCATCATGAAACGTACCATCAGAATGTTGTGAATTAAAAGTTGTCAATACAAAGTCAAGTAACAAATCAACAGCAAAGCCACTTGATCCTCAATTTAATTGGAATTGCTGTTGATTCTTTCTTTTAATTCAAAAATCACATTGAGCACAGAAGTCACATTATGTTGCTATATATCTCTCAGCTCAAAGCACATTGGATCCAGTAACAGGACTAAAGCCAAACAACAGTTCTACACCTGAAAATCTGCTAATTTATAAGACGCATATAATTATACACAACCAAAAGGTTGTAAGTTCTCCCATTATCTGAACATCAAAAGGACTAAAATTATATAGCTTAACTCAATTGTAGAAAAGGATCAAATTCAGTTCTCAAATCCTACTGAAATTTGTATGGGACCATAAAAACCTTCGATCTTCTGCTTAGCTTAACAGTTTGCAAATGTGTTGTTAAGACCTGTAGGAATCTTATTTCTGATAGTGTTTTATAAGCATTAACAACTCCAGCTACTTGTGTGCATATATTAAAGTTTATTGATAGCCTTCAGTTGTTATGAAAGATAGGGACATACTTTCATCCAATTTCTAGAAGACAGTAGTCTTGGATTCACTTGAACTTTTTATTTAGGTAAGAATAGATACAGGTAGGAAATACAAATCTTGTGTCTGTTGGATATTTGATATAACAGGAAATGTGGCTCACATTTGATACAAGCTAAAAACGTGGCCTGTAAGGAAATGGCTGGGTACAGTCTCCCACGAGTGGATTCTGCCAAGCATTTAAATTGTCAGCTCAAACTAAGACAAAACAGAAACTAATGTGAAGTGATATAATAATGCAATTTTAAGCATACACCATTTTATTACTCAGAAGTAATGTGAGATGGACAGACTTCTTTAAACTCAAATGTAGCCACGGGTTAATTCAACAGATTTAATCACATATATTAGCAAGTCACTTAGAAGGAAGTGATTATCTCTTAACACTGCCATGCTCGTTCCACTTTCACCAATGCTTCTCAAAGCTTTCAAGCTAAGAAGCACCCCTGGAGGGCACTAGCAGGCTCTACTCAGCAGTGCTGGTTAGGGGGCACAGGGAGTTCCCATTCCAGCAGCCAACATTTCAGGCCCTACAGGCATTGGGTATTCAGGTGTCTTCACTAACTTAAACTGACTGTGATCTTCAGCTTTTTCCATCCTAGACAAATACCCTACTCAGAGGGCTAAAGTACATGCTAGTCTGTCTTAGAAAAAGATAAAATCAAATCAAACCATTCTAGCAAAAAAGCGGATATATAGGGGGAAAAAAATCTCATACACATTTTAACGTATGTTGCACACTTACTGGATCAACCTGCCATATAATAACAGTTGTATCCTTGGATCCTGTTGCTAGTTTAGTGCCATCATTGGAAAATTTACAGAACCACACTTCATTACAGTGCTCCGTTAGTATCTGCTGTGTATAGCAAGGGAACTGTTTCCTAGGGAAAAAAAGAAAGGGATGCGTTAAGCAAAAACACAACAAAAAGAAAGAAAGTAGTAAGATACATATAAACAACAAGACAAAACCCAACCAGTCTAATAAAAATTAAGAATGTATTAAGTGCCAGATCAGGTAACTTAGACAGGTCTGAAAAAATTAAGTATCAAGTAAACAAAACTAATTATAGAGATAGTCTTATTACCCTCACATAATTCATTATGCTTCATATAACCTGGAATAAACCTAACCTCATTAGGACAGGGACAGCTCTTTTACTGTACGCTTCTGTGATGTACAGAAAATACTAGAGTCAGTCTCATGGAATCATGCACAAAGAATTTCATTAACATGCAAAATCTTTTAATGTATTTATAGCCAGACCATGCAAGATACATAAAAATAATTCTTAGAAGTTGAATAAAAGAATAGCCTTTCTTGAAGTGGAGCTTGCAGTAAGTTGTGGGGTTTTCTTCATTGCGTAGCACGTTTTTCATTTGTTTGTTTTACATCTTCCTTGTACACACACACACAACTTTAAGCATAACACAACAGAATCACAGAATGGCTTGGTTTGAGAAGAACTCTGAAGTTCATCCAGTTCCAATCCCCTGCCATGGGTAGGGTTGCAGACCAAGCTGTCCGAAGTCCCATCTAACCTGGCTTTGAATGCCTACAGCTTCTCTAGGCAGCCTGTACCAGGGCCTCACCATCATCATCATGTTAATAATGCTTTAAGTGTTCCCCTGACCAAAGCCACACTATTTTGTAATGCATTAAATACTTATCAAACTAAATATTATATGATAAACTACTGAAAGGATCAAGTGTTTCCTTAAAGCTAATATTTAATCTTCTAGTTACATTCTGAGGAAAGGCTAACAGTCAAAATATTAAGATCAGGAGATACATTCTGTTTCATTCACTGCTTGCCCATTACAAGAGTAATTGGGAGCTAGTCTAAAGTAAAAGCAGGCTTTTAGAGCAGATGACTGTAAAAGACTTTAAATAATACTGCAGTTATGAAGTTCAGTGTTTGGATGCACTAAAAGTTAACGCCTAACCATTAACATTTATTCCTGAACTACAGGTATACTGGAGAGTGTTAATCTTTCAGAGAGTTTTTATGATGCCAGCACAACAGGGCAACACAGCTCTAAAGAGATACGAAGTTACTACTCTAAAAACAATATCCTATGCAAATGCACAGCTGCACTCATTACAAGAAAAAGCCGGCCTAAGAAGGGTTACTTCCTTACATTTGTATTTTAATATACAGTTGGTGGTAGCCAAGCTAGCAGACACCCTGAAAAGCTACTTTTTAAACCAGAATTTTCTGATTAATACAATGACTGCATTCTCATTTCCTTCTATTAGAAGATGCATCCCAGCCTGTGTTTAAAGACCACTGAGCAACACTCAACCACCACGCATCCCCTCATTTCCTGTCTTATGATAGGGGAGGATAACCACATTGTATATACACATACCTGTATCCATCTTCCTTTGGTATGTCTAGTCACTTCTAATAGACTAACACAAGTCTATTCTGTATTATTCTGCCTTAAGCTGACCAGGAGTTGTCTAATTGCCACTGGAACAGCCCTGAGTCCAAGGTTAAAAGCTCCACCCGTGAAAGATGACTTTGTTTTATTGAAGCCTAAAGGGAGGCAAACAAGTCCTTACACAGATACCTGCACCTACAGCAAGAGCTACGCTTCATTATTATTTAGCCATGTTGTAGTAAATTAATATTTCTCCTCAGAGCAGCAGTTCCTTCTTGAAAGTTAGATTCTTTATCCATAATTCATACAAAGTAAAAAGAGTGTACTGCATCCCAAGACATCCATTTCAGCATATGCCACTAAAAGAAACACTCAACTAAAATACAAGCACTGCTTTTACAAAATTAAAACCCTGGGTGCTTTTCTTAAAGACAAGAAGCAGCAGCACAGTGCTGGAGTAAACCATTTCCACAGAAAGGAAGCCTTGAGGTTACTAAAAAAAAAAAAGTTAACAAGCACAGCCAATATCACAGCTGCAGACCCATCCAATGTTGAAGTATGCTATCCACAACGCAGTCAGATCCGAGCTCTCTCAAAAGTCCACCAAATGAAACAGAACCCAGCAAGATTTACTTCACAGACAAGCGATACATTAAATAATGCTGCAGTTATTCAGTAGTTTCTTGTCTACATAATGAGATGCTATTTTAACTCAAACTGTTTTGCTTTTTTGTTTCCTTACAAGTTGTTCTGTTCAGCGCAACATACGTGAGTTACGTTGTTCACATATTGAAATAAAGTATCTAATAAAGTTATCCACTGTTGCATGTACAGAACCCTAAATTTAACTACTACTAACAGCTACTTTTCACTGTATGTGGAATGAAAGATTTATTCTTCAGCTTCTACAAGAGTTCTTTTTCAAAAATGCTGCATTAGCTTATTAGAAGCATGCAGAAATGCAACAGCATTCATTTCTCTCGGGTTTCACTATGAATTCAGACTTAGGTGTATTTACATGAAAGCAAGAAAATTCCAGGGGAAAACAAAAACCACCTAAAGGCTTTCCAAGCAAAAATAAGTAAATAAGTAAAAATTCATACGTGTAAACACAAGGGCTGCTCCCAAAGTAATGCCTCCTACTGTATTATGTTGGCTCACGACATCAGAGGCAGGTGGTGGTGGTGTGGCAGTAGAGGCGGAACCTTCCCACCCATATTCCACTACCTTTTGTTGCTGTGCAACAGATGGCAGCAGAGGGACACTCTGACACAATGGCATCTGACATGGAAGCGCGTACGGAGCAAAGGAGTGTGACTGATTTCCTCCACGCAGAAAAAACCGAGCCCTCTGACATTCATCAATGCTTACTGAGCATTTATGGAGACCAAACAGTGGATAACAGCACAGCGAGGTGGCGCGCAGCACATTTCAGCAGTAGTAACAGCAATGTGAAAGACAAGTCATGTTCCAGGCAGCCAGACTTCAATGAGTGCAGCATGCAGGCTCTTGTTTAACACCGGCAAAAATGCATAGCTCATGGAGGTGGCTGTGTTGACAGATAGCATTTTGTAGCTGAGAACTCACTCTACCAAATAGTGTTACTGTGCTCTTTGTGTCTGTTGTACATAAACAGAAGGCATTACTTCCAGAGTGACCCACATATGGAAGTGATCACCCCCCTCCAATAGCATCTATTATCAAAACAGAATGCACAGTAAGACTCCATGTATCACCTTCACTCCCAGCAGTTTCCTCTCTCTTACCACCTGCTCTTGTGAAGTTATTTAGTCAAACATTCTACCCATTAGTGCACTTGTAAGCATGCTTTCTTAAAGTATTGCCAGAAGTCCAAAACATTAGTTCCAACTAAAAAAAGGAAAGTTGTCAGTGTTTTTTTAGCTGTTACAGTACTTAAGTTGTCTAAACTATTAGACTACTGTTGCATCTGTCAGTTTAATCAAATTTTGGCTTCCACTGTCTTTAACTCACCTCATTATGCCCAAGCATTGCAGCATGTACAGCGTATCACATACTGATCTCAGACCCCTGCAATAGGTAGTTACAACAGGTTGAGTTGAGGACAGAATGGAAGCCTTTATTTTGAAGAGCTTCTGTTGCTTTTTTCTTTTTTTTAAATATTATTTTGGCCAAACTTTCATGTTAGCAAGTAGATTCAGATCAGTGGAATTGGAGTCCACATTTTTCACGTGGTATCCAGTTCTATCTAGTCCACCTTCACACTTTTTACAGCTGACTTTAAGCTCTTTAAGGTTTGATTAAACACACTGATGTTCTACAGAACATCTGTTATTTATGGGCTTGTGAAAAGACTAAACCACTCTGCTAGTTTGTTTTTAAGACTCACTTCTGAAGTAGGGAAAGCCACAATTCCTTTATCTGATCACTTCCAATAGCTCTTAAAATGAGCAACAGTCAAAGTCCATGCACATGAGAAACTACTAGAACAGTGTGATGCAGCAGACAAAGTGTAACAACAATCTAAAAACACATACTTGAATAAAGTACCAGGTATATTAATTTTAAAACCTTAAGATGGTTACAAGCAAGTACTACAAAAGCCTGTATCTTTCAAAATAGATTCTAAGCATTCAAAGCAGCCAAGTTCATAAGATCTCTAAAAGCAAGTTCATCAGACAGTAACTTAACTTTTCAGATGAACTAACCTTGACTCAAAAAAAAGTCTCATTTAAGCCCAAGTTTTAGCCCGCTACATGAAAGAAAAGAAATGAAAAAGGAAAAACATAGAAGGGTACTGTCTATAGGCTGAGTTTTGCAGGTGTTCTAACCCTCATTCCTGAATGACTGTATTACACCAGTTTTCTAAAAAAAAAAAAAAAAAAAAAAACTACACTGAATTTTTAGATCCTTGGCCAAGTTCTCAGTATAAAAAGAAAGCCAGTCAAATTAGGTATTTGTTAAAATAAATTAAAATACACCACAAGAGCCTCCTGCTTCTGTCTAGAGCATGGCATTTTAAGGATCCAGAAGCAGCACCAATACGCACATAGAAGAAATTCTCAGTTTTTACTACCTTATTAAGAACTATTTTCCCAAACTTTTTTTCTTCATATTAGACATTAAACAAGTGTATACTGCGTATTTCAGCTCCCCAACCCGTAAATCTTAGAAGCACCTTATCGTTTACCATTAAAAGCTAAAAGTTGACTTTATTTAGTGTGCTTCAGTAGCCTTTCTTCATCCCAGTAAGCTTGAAGGCAGAACCTATTTAACGTACTGGTGATAGCCTAGTTAAAATGTGGCAGTCATGTATTGACTAATAAACAGAATGGCTGCCCAAAGTTACGGAGCAACAAGTAGCTAAGGCTTAGCATAAAAACATATCCTACTCATACCCACCCAATTACAATTCTGAAGTTTAAGTATGGCACCATTGCCTCATATCCAGCTACCAAAGCCTTCCATACGCGCAATATATGGATGTATCCAGTTCCACCCTCTACCATTCAATTTATAAGACCTGCCTTTTCCCAGAACTGTTAAACAGATTGGAATCATTTTCACAACCCTCAAAATAGTAGGCACAATTAAATTAAGAAACACAGAGAAGATATTGCCATCCATCTTACAAGTAGAAAGGGCTTCTTACCTACTACAAACGTGATCTATAAGCAGCGAGACAGAATCTAGATTACTGTCTAGTTTGGTATTATGATATAGGCACCGGTCCCGTTGTAGTTCCACAGCCTGACGCAGCAGGTTCTGTAAACGCCTTGGAGGAAGCATCACTGAGGGGGGCAGGTATGCTATTAAAAAAATTGTTGAAAAATACATATATCAGAACCAAGTTAAAAGTAAAAGCACTTATTGATTTGAGTGTTTTTGGAAGAGACTTCAGTGAATAACGCAAAAAGCTGCCGAAAAAGAGTGCACACAGCTTGTAATTCCAGATGTATACCTGTAGACATGGCAAGCATGAGTCTCTGGAAAACAGAGCTGTAAGATATTTACAGCTACCGTATATGCTGTCTTGGCAAGCAAACATCATTTACACAAGCTCACTCACAACCCAGTACTTCACAAAATCTGTCAGATTATAAAGCAGCATCAGTTGGGCTCATCTGAGAAATTCTCAATTAAGACTATCAAAATGAAGAATACAATGCATCAGAGCTGCAAAAATCCATGGTGTTACACAAGCCACAAGAAACCAGAGGAGAAACTGAAATCCACAGCGCAGTTTGAGATCACTGTTAACTACTGCTGGTATTCACAGTGGTTCCAGGACAGTTTCAGCCTCTCACTATAGCTGGCATTTACAAATCAAACTTCCCCCTGACCCAATGGAGGAATTCATCACTAAATTACATTATTAATGCATGCAACAGAACTAAGTAATTATAGCTAATCTTCAGCTCTCAAAGACCAAAACCCAGAGGTACATAAAGAACTACAAGAAAACCAACAACTGGTAAATGCAGTTAGAATGAATTTCCTGCGATACATGACTATGTAGTATGCATTTGAACTACAGAGGTGGAAATAAACTCTAAACATTCAAACATCTTACTCTGGAGTTTGTCCAAAAGCTTAGATCTGGAAGCTGTTCCTTTCCCTTCCCACTCTGCTTTTGCACGCAGGTCTTCTGCATGGCTACACATCAGATACCTGTTTAAAAACAAAAACAACAAACAAACAAAACACACATGCCAACACACCTCTTTCTGGAATCATTCTTTCCACTTTTAAGCATGATATATAACATTCTTAATTTCAGAATATATTATCTGGAAACAAGTTACTTAAGCTTAGAATGATAGGAAGAAAGGCAAAGAATACAGACATATTTCAGAACAGATACCTACAAATTGTCAGTAGGTAAGAAAATAAAAAGAGCCCCAAGAGGGTTGTTTTCAGAAAGGTAAAAATACCTTATTTTCATCTAAGTACAATCTAGACTAAATTCACCAACTTAAGCATATTTTTTTAGTTATAAGATAACAGACCAATAATTCTCAAGATCAAATGAGCATACATGCATACGTATTTGCTTGGGTTCCAGTACAAAAATCATATCAAGTTACTCGCATGCATCTAAAAATATAACATTATCTACTGAATGCTTTTTCTTTACTCACCGCTTTAGATAGTGCATCTCACTACAGATTATTTATCAAAAGGATAATAGCTTTAATGCAGTTTGAGCTTACAAAGTCACTACAAGCTACCATAAAAGCTACAGTATTTCTTCAAAAAGTCCTCTCAAAGTCTGAGCACTTACCCACTGAGGACATGAATGCGTTCTGTATTATATTTCAGAGGCGTCAGTTCACAGCGTAGAACTTGAAGTGCCTCCAGGACCTTGCCATCCTCCAGGTACTCCAGGTACTTCTGCTGCAGCAGCAAAAACTTCATCCTCTGACATGACAGAAAGCAGCAGTCAGGGGAAAAAGGTTGACTGAAGTTTCAGAAAACGTTTGAGCCTAAACAGAACAGTAGAAACCATTCTACTATGCCCTTCAGAAACACAGCTATATCTAATGTTTCATCACTCAATTTCTTTTTGCTGGATTTTCAACACTGCTGCAGTTAAGTTATTGATGTAGGCATCCTCCTACCTCCTTTCTCAGATCCCCCCTTCAACTTGCCTCCATTTCATATTCACATTCTTTTCAGTCACTGTTCTTCCAGCCCTGAATTAGAGAGGCTTCCCGAACTTAAAAGCCCAAGAAGAAAGAAAAGCTCAAGAAAAAAGCCCAAAAGCAACTAATCACATACTACAGACCACACGACAGCACAGAACACAAGAAGCCAACTTGACAAGTTCTCATACTGCTTACAAAGGAGCTGACATGGATTGTTTGCATAGCTGTGTAACATATGGCAATAAAAAAAAAAAAACTAACACTGCCTGAGGTCTTGCTTTGTAGCACCACATTCAGTTGTTTTCCTTGGGCGTTTGATCAATTTTCAAGAGTACAAAATAAAAATAAATAACAGTTTCCGAAATTCAGGAATCACTTTTTATTTCTTGTTCTTTCATCATTTTCCTTTCACCTTCTCCAGGTTTTTCTTTCCTGTTTTGTTTTTAAGTAAACAATTAACCCTACTACTCTAACAAGTAAAGTATGTGGAGTTAAAAACAGCAGGCCATTTCTTTAGAAACTTACAGTTATACCAAATTCTTAGACAGCTTGACCAATTCTGGACAAAACTATTCAGTGTTTGCACATCTTTGTTACAGCCAGCACTTATCAGAGGGATAAGAGGTCTCCAGTCATCAGGTTAAAGAGGAAAACTTACATTCATACACATATCAGTGAAAAACAAAATAAAAATCACGTGTAGCAAATCACATTTGCTTCTGTAAGGAATACACCAAACAAATTCAACCACCAGTTTCCTTTGCTTTGTCAGATCTCGAGCACCACCTCACTATTTTCATGCACATATTTGGTCAATGTTTACTTGTTAGTTTCAGACGGACTGCTGGCCTCCTTAAGGAAAGGGATAATTGGGAAGTTTAAGATATCTCTGTCTTATTAAAGCTTATGCAGAAGTTTAAGGTTTCAAATCTGTAAAATCTTAGCTAGAGAACAAAGCAGTTTTAACTTCCAGAGACTTTCAGTTCTGCAAAAGAATAACATTTCCATATACAGTCTTACATCATTATCATAAAGCTTCGTGAAGCCTCAACTATCTACTGTCCGTATGCAAAGGGCATGCCTGTATTACATCCCCTATAGAGCTCTTCAGTTTGTTTGGATTTGGAATCTTAGAACAAAATATGAAAATAGAGCATCGCTTTACAATTGTCTTCTTCCTCCAGGAACAACAGCTTCTTTTTATGTTTGGGTGACAGGTCGAGACCCAACTAACAAAAACAAAAGCCAAAACCCAAACCCAACCTCAGTGGTTACTCCCATCCACTAGGCCAGCAGGCCTCACGCTGTCTGCGCACTCAGCAGCAGCAGGAAGGTGAGGAGTTTCCTCTCCCAGCTGTGCACATGCTCAGAAGGAGGCATGGAGGAGCTGGGCTGCTAGTCACGTACCTTTTTTTTTCACTCCTTTGTCACCTCACACTGATGATCACTAAAAGGTAAAAATAGTCTGATGTTTCCAGTTTATAACAAAAACTGTAATCCCTTCAACTCTTCTTCTCTAGGTCACTGCATGTAGTATTTACTCATTTCTTGTTATCTCTCTCTTAAATTTAATAATAGTACCTGTATTTAATTACTCTTTTCTTCTCTACTTCTAGAGAGTAACATGTTAATTTCATTTCTTCAGAGGAAAGAAAACACATTTTATACAGACAGACACACAAAATCCCTAAAAACCAGTTTTTGCAGTGCCAATTTCAACAGCGCCATGAAACTGTTACAGGAATATTACCATGCAGAATACTGTTGCCAAGTCACCCACAGAAGTGTAATTTCAGTTTTGGTTTAGAAAATACAATTCCCAAGAAGGGTCATCAGTGCCAGGTGCACATTTTGCGTATTGGGAATACAAAGCATTCAGAACATGTAGTACCATAGACTTCTGCTATTGCTAAAATAATGGAGAATCAGAATAAAAGATAAATGGCTTCACAATGTAAAATATTGACAGCATAAAGGCAGAGACTGAAGTGTTAATAGGAAAACTATTATATCTAAGCTATTAAGCGCTCCAAAACTTACCCTATTGCATACTCAAACAATACCATGAATGCATTCTCCTCAAGGCAGAAGGATTCCAGTGACATCATCCTTCCAAGTCTCTTTTTTTTTCCCCCGTGTGCATGTGTGTATATATCAAAACATTCCCTCCCACTATTTATTTCTGTGCAACTTGTCTCTTGCCTGACAAACATTTCACTGAATAACTGAGTTTTGTCTTCCCTTTCTCTCAGCTACTTTCATATGCCCTACAACAGCTAATTACTTCCAATACAATCTTCTCAGGGCAGATAAGACCACTTTGAGCATAACAACTTTTCTAGAACCTAAACAATCACTTCTATGAAGAAAAGAGAACTGTTTGGAACATCGACAACTGTAGCTCAAAAGCAGAAATCCTATCATTTATCTCAATGAAACTAAAACTGACCAGACGCAGTGCACTCACCAAGTACAACTTGCTCATTTTCCATATTCTTTAGCTGCCTTATGAAAAATGGAAATGAAAATTACTATAATTTGAGTTACACCACATAGAATATAATGGAAGCGCCTGGAATTTGTTGTCACCATTTCAGTGTTTGTAATGGAAATTCAACATCATTACATTATTTACTGTTGAAGAATTTCAATCCAGACACTACCACCACTTAAGATTATAGCAAATGATAGAAAAGTCTCTTCAGTCTACAAAAAAACATCGAAGAGTCTCAATACAACAGTTTCATCATAGCAGCCTGACTGTTCTCATTCAGTTAATACCCTCTCACCCTGTCTTTCAACACTACAGTCAGGATGAAGATAAAGTACATTACTTCTGTTTCTAGAGGTTATTATTTAAGTACAGGCTGGGCCTCTGGTCATCCTGAGGCAAAACACAGACATTCAATAGAACTAGAGTTGCTGGTTTTGTTTGTTTTGTTTGAAGAAAGCAAAACCAGAGTATGTACACCCAAACTACAGCCTTTATTTACTAACACTCATGTTTAGCAGAAAAGCCCCTTGCAGAACCTAAAGTTCTAGGAAGCCTGACATGCAGCATGATTCACCAGCACAAACTAAAGGTTAAAACAACTGAAGATGACAGGACAAGTATCCTACTATAGTTGAGAAAATAAGATTTTTCTGATACTGGTTACAGTAGTAAATCTTCAGTAGTTTAAATACCAGGATGCATAAGTACATAATTTTAGGGTTAGATTTTACTGTTATTTTTGATCTGCATATCTGGACAACTCTACTGTACTAAGAGCCTATGGTTCAAAATACCGAAACAACTCTTCTTTGAAATGAAAAAAGGTAACCAGAAGACATGTTGAAGTGATCACCTGATGTTTCAACAGATATTCTCAACACAGTAGCTATCTACTTACAGGCCTGCAGCACTAAGCCCCTGGTTTCCATGACTTTTATCTTTAGCACTTGGACAGTCTTGCAAAACCACAACGCTAATAAATACAAACAGTTAACAACTGTTACATCCAAAACTTGAACGTAAGACCTGATAATGTAAAGATCTGAATATTTTCTGCCCTACAGAATTGAACAAGGCATCCAGTGTATCAAATCATGTCACTTAAATGGAGCTCACCTCTCAATGCAAGAGAGCTGCCACACAGGCAGGTGGAGCACTTCACTGACGCTAGTCAATAACTTTCTATGCTGCATTCCTAGGCTGTATACTTTCAGAACTTGGGGAAAACTCAAGTAAATGGGAAAAAAGTAAAGTGCACAACTGTGAAGTATATTCTAGATTAAAACTATATACATATGATATCTAGATTCTCTCCCACATTCAGTTGGTTCCCCCAGACAGATGTTAAAATGTGCCTGCACAGCTCAAAAGTAAGCAAAATGTTGGGCTAACTAGGAACTGATATTTTTTAAGTGCTACCCAAGGAAAAAAATTAATTATTATGCTTGACTCAAGTCTTAAGTTTGTCTCAAGACAGCTGTATCTTACATGCTGGAAAAGTAAACATGGCTAATCGCATGCTATACTGCTAATACACAGCACTCAGTTGTGTTGATGAAAACAGAAATAAATAGCAGACTGTCTTCTCCCCATCCACATCCTCCCCATCCAACATCCACAAGTAGCTTTTAAAAACACATCTGAAGTTTACAAATGGAGAGCAGCCATTTCATCTTCAGTGCTTTCAACTGTAGAATCTACAGCACTTTATAAAAATCAGCAATTAAAACAGGAGTAGAGTTTTCAAAGTACATACATAACCCCTTCACTGAACAGACATTTCAAAAGCAGGTACATATCCCCATTATTTTGACAAGGTCATATTGAGAGACAAGAAAAAAAAAAAAACCACACAAAATATGCATCCTAGTTTTTTATATACTGTGTCATCTAAACTTTAGGTCCTCATTCTTCTTGCATGCATGCATTGAGTCACACTGCATGAGTAACAGATCAGAATTCAAACCTAAAAGATCTCATTTTCTGTTTTTGAATAGTTACCTGCAGCATCATCTTGTTTGCACTCTCCTTAATCAAGACATCTATCATCTTTATTAGCTCTCACTTTGCTGCAGTCTGGAACAGCTACAGAGCACAAAGCATCTCTCCTTACCTGTAACAGCCTTTTACTAGGTTTCCAGTTGCTGACTGCACTAACTCCTATCCATCCCTTCACCCACATAAAAATAAAAAATGGGGAAGGAAGGGCGTGAAGATGGAGAGAATTGTACTTATCCTTGCAAACTATCACTGTCTGATGAATAAAGACATCTAATATTTAGAAGTTATCTGTTTTAAATTATATGAAATTTAGACACAGGAGAACAACTTAAATTATTTCTTTTTTTTTTTTTTTCCAGGTAACAGTCTACATCAGTTACCTGTATTGTAACCAGTTTTATTAAAGCAGTTAAACATCAACATTAAAGAACAGAGGCATGCTTTCAAAGATGATCAAAATAGCAGAAAACAAGCTTCCCCTTTTCCTCCCTCAAATTAATTTCTTCTGAAAAGTACAGTAATGACAGACACTTAAAAACTCTCAACTCCTAGAGACAAGAAACACTTTAATAGTAAGAAACTTTTTAACTTCTGAAGGGAGAAACATGAGAAAATTTGCTTCAAATGATCACATTCGTATTTTCATGCAGCAGTTTCAAACTTCCAGTGCTTACAGACAATCAAGAACTGCATGCAATGCTCTCAAGTATTTGAGGAACAGAGCTTCATTTTCTCAAGTCTTGAACAGGAAAAAATGAACAACTGATCTAACTAGGAACTGTCATGTTTTGGCCAGATCAATAGAGCAGAATGTAAACTTCTCTTAAAAATTCTCCTATGTTTTGCTAAACATCTGTTTTTCCTACTTCACTTCCTGTTCTCTTTCTTTCCCTCCCCCACTGGACAGGAAATTGTCTTGACAACAAATGAATCAGCTAGAAGTAGAGCTAAGCAGCCATCAGCTGATTCTTCACTGTTTACAGTCACAGGCACTTCAAAAAGCACTGCCACTTTTTTCTCCCTAAGTGACTCTAGTTGTCCTAACTTCATTTCATTAGAATAAACATTTAAGCGCAACAGAACAGGCAGTCTGCAGAGCTAAGTAATCATTTTTTATCTCAAAATAGAAAAAGAGAGCCAAGAAACACTTTCCTCAAAGTAACTGAAATCATAACAACAGACACTGTAATTGTCAAGTCACAGGATCTGCAAACGTCTATTTCTAGGTTCATCTTTGAAAAAAGCCAGCCAAAGAGGAAAAAACTCCAAATAAAATCCCAAACAGCAATACAAATACATTTGCTCTTTTAGAAACCATCTGGAAAAGCAACAGTATTGTTCATGTTCTATAGCAGCCTCTATATTCCCGGGATGTGCCATGACAATGCCAACTCTACATTTGCGTTACTGCATCTTTACTTCCAAATTTTTCTTTCTTTAAGAGAAACCTAACTCCAATAAATACAACAACTGTGAGAAGGATTCCAAGTTTGAAATCAGTATTCAACACAGACAATTTCCATGGAAACAGACCTATTTTAGGCCTGTTAGAGGATCTATATTTCATCAGTTAAGTATACTTAACAACATTTATTCACTAAAACAAATACTAGGCTTAATACTTTGGTGTTTCCTATCTCACATTCTAGAAAAGAGAGAAAAGATTAGTACATTTTGAGATAGCATGCAAGCTGCTTAAACGACAAAGAAAATAAGAACTAACTCCATAGTGAAAGATCACGCTATTCAACTAGCCCAACTATACAGCTCTGAAAGAGTTCAAGTGTGCCTCTTACCACAATTGCATGCGGAGAATGCACTAAGGCCTTAAGTTCATTCAGGTCGTTCTCTGCCTGCAGAAATCGGCATAAGAAAAAAAAACAAACAAAGAAGAAGTATATAAGGAGGGTGGATTTTGAATTCTCTCATAGATACTATAAATTTAAACATTGGTTAATACAGTCCTAGAAGCCCTACGTTACCTTATCCCATTCTCCTTCCATGACATGATTGCGGAATTTGGTAGCAGAAGGATGTTCTAAACGACATCCTGACTCTTGCATGAGAAGATCAACAGTCTGGCTGCAGGAGAGATACAGTGTAAAAAAACCCGACCAGTTTCACCCTCACAAATATACCGCCTGCTACGATAACAATTAACCACATTTAAAAGTAACTTTATTAAAGTAAGAAGACTACCACCAGATTCAGAGGCTTGTCCAAAAGGTTATCTCAGTTGCCTGAGACGTGTAAGCAGCTGCCTATGTCTAAAACAAGTAGTCAATTAGCTTGAGAGCTTCACTGAAGTACCATGAAGGATGTGACTTACCAGCCACCAAACAGCCAGCCCTGCATAGTAGATAGCCTTCGTGAAGGAAGAGACAGACTACAGCTGTTAGCCACTGGCTGTCAACCCCTGCCCCCCTCCCCCCCGCCTCCCATAAACGAGTACAGAGCTATGCACATCTGCAACAGGCCTGTATTAAAAGACTGGCTCCTTAAAATATAATAAACAAACTCACGGACCTGCAGCCCTCCCCCCCTTTACACTAAAAATAGCTTATTTACTGTGGCGCCGTCTATGAACAGTCACGAGTTGTCTGTTGCTGTAAACTTGCCTCTTGTGTCAGGGGCAGTTCATTTAGCGTGCTAAGTTCTTTATAATTGACCCGGCCCACTGTGTTTTGAAGACTTGTTTTGCAGTAGCTACGTGAAGGCTTCGCAGGGCTCCTATTCCAGAATCACGATGCGGTGGTTTGAGCCTTGCTCACAAAGCAAACGTCACGATTAAATTCTCAGATTCACCTTTCTTCTGTGTAAAATTATTTCCCCTATTCTGATTTTAAGAGAGAGTCAACGCGCTTGCTCCTAGCCTACAACAAAACACGGGGCTGACACCTTTGCCATCGGCGGGGACGAAGGCTCAGCAGCGGAACACAACAGCCCGTTTCGGCCGAGTTCGGTTGCTGCCAGCAGACAAACGAAACCTTGGAGCTCATCTGCGAGAAGCCTTCCCCCACGCCCAGCCGCGGGCTCCATTACGCGTACCCGATAACTTCTCCCCCGCTAACACGTTGCTATCGATCCGCCTTATCAGTGAGCGGCCCGGCTTCCATATTGCCGTCCCTTCCCGAACCGCCCCGGCCCGCCGAGCGGAGCGGCACGGGGAGCACGACGCGTCCGGGCTCCATTTTCGCCAGCCCCCAGCGCTGCCCTGGCACTCGCCTCCCCTCCCCGCGCCGCCCCGGTCCGCAGAGGGCCCGTGCCCGGCCGCCTTCCCCTCCTTCCCCCGCCGCCACTTACTTGAGGCCCAGGCCGTGGAGGTGCTGCCCGATCAGCCGGATCACGTCCTCGTCGGACTGCGAGAGCCGCTTCTTCTTCTTCAGGGCGCTGCCGCCGCCACCCCCCAGCTCCGCGGCGGCCGTGCCGGGCCCCCCGGCGGCGGGCACCCCGTTGTTGACACTGAGGCCGCCGGGGCTGCCGCCGCCGCTGTTGGCTGAGGGCAGCAGCCCGTTGGCGTGGGCCAGCTGCTCGCCGGCGGCCGTGCCCGCCGAGGCCTCGCCGTTCTGGGCTCCCAGACAGCCCAGCTCCGGGCCCTGCGGCGGCTGCTGCTGCTGCTGCTGCTGGCCCCCTCCTGCCCCGTTGGCCTGCATGGCGCTGCCGCCGCTGCTCGTGCTGCTGCCGCTGCCTCGGAGCGGGGCGGCGGCGGGGGCGAGCCCGGCGGGGAGCGAGGGGGACTGGGACGAGGTGAGGCCTGCTCTGCCCGCGGAAGCCCCGGGCTCTCCTGCTCCCTCCGCCGCCGCCGCCGGGGAGGCCCGGGCTTTCTTCCGCGGGGGCGGGGAGGCTCCGCCGGTGTCCGAGTCGGAGGAGGAGGAAGCGGAGGCCAGAGTTTCCTCGCCGAGAGCGGCCGTGGTGGGAAGCCGGGGGGGCGAGAAGGGTGGGGGGGGGGAGGCAAGGGGCGGCGGGGGTGAGGGGAGGCGGAGCGGGGCCCTGCGCCCCCGGGGGTCCCGGAGGCAGCGCCGCCACCCGCTCGGGGCTCCCTCTGGCGATGGCGGCCGCCGCTGCCTCGAGCCCCCGCCCGGCAGCCCCGGGCGCCCGGCCTGCTCCGCTCGCTGCCCGCTGGGTTTGTCTTCTCTCAGCCCAGCTGCAGCCTAATGGAGTCCGGGCCGGGACGTCACAGGAAATTCCTACACTGCCCCCTACACACACTTCCGCCGCCCGGGGCTGGGGGTGGGGGACGGGCCCTATAGGGGACGGGGTGCCGCCGGGGCAGACCTCGCCGCCGCGCTCCGGGCCTCTCGGGCGGCTGCTGAGGGGGCGTGGGTCGGGGTCCCTCGACTCCTCTGTGAGGGCTGTAGGTGTCCGGGGGCACGTCGGGGGCTGTGCGAGTGCGGTATGGGCAGTGTCCGCTGCTGTCAGCCCTGCGGTGCGTGTCTGGAGCTGAGAGGTGTGAAGGTGTGGGTGTTTGGTGTGAATGAGGCCTTGATCCTGTCACGGTGGGCCATCCTCGTCCTCCGTAGGGATGGAAGAGGGCTGCTGGAATTTCCTGAAGCAAGCTAGGTTTTTCTTAGAGTTGTTAGGTCCCTTCTGGAGGACCACATCCAGGTCTGGGACCCCCCAACTCAGGAAAGATGTGGAGCTGTTGGAGAGGGCCCAGAGGAGGACACAAAGGTGATCAGAGGGCTGGAGCACCTCTCCTACAGACAGACTGGGCTTGGGCAGTCTGGAGAAGAGAGGGCTGCAGAGAGACCTCATTGCAGCCTTCCAGTATTTAAACAGAGTTTTTAAACAGGAAGGAAATCAGCTTTTTACATGAGTAGATGTGATAGGACAAGGGGGAATAGTTTAAAACTAAAGGAGAGAAGATTTAGATTAGATGTCAGGGAGAAGTTTTCACAGAGAGTGTGGTGAGGCACTGGCATAGCTGTCCAGATGAGTGATGGATACTCCATCCCCAAAGGTGCTCAGGACCAGGTTGGATAGGACTCCAGACAGCCTGAGCAGGTGGGGGGCAGTCCTGCCCACAGCTGGGAGGTTGGAAGTAGATCATCTTTGAGGTCTCTCCCAACAAGCAGTTCTATGATTCTATGATTATCATTTTGGTTATTTGTTCTGTTTTTTAAAAAAGGAGAAATATTCGGTAAAGTAGCATCCTGTGTTTGCCCAGCCAGGTTACTCGTAGGGTTCAAGTCTAGTCATAATATGTGTTAGCTCCAAAGAGAAAGAAAATGGCATTTCTGCTTACCTGTAAGCGGTGCAGAAATGTTGAGGCATGGGCCCATCCATCAGGATAACCTGTCAGAGGAGAATGGATACTTTGGGGTTGTCTCCTTCTGTCCCCCTCCTGTGCAATGGAAACTAGAATCTGCAGTCAAGCCTCTGGTAAAAAATTATGAGACTAATAAAAGATTGGTGTTCGAAAATAGTCTCTTGAAATAATATGTTGGATGTTACTTGGTTTTAGAGTCTGGAATTTTCAACTTCCATATTTTCAAACTTTTCTCCAAATCCCAAAGCAAACTCTTTTTCATGAATAAAAGCTGAAGTGAACATCTAATCATCATCTTTCAGAAGCCACGGTTTTAAGAACACTGAATATTTCCAACAAATGTTAAGAGTTGTTGAGACAGCAGTGCTTTCTTTGGAGTGCAAATTTGAAGAAGTCTGACCGAGGGAAACCAGCCCAAGACCAGTGTAGAAGTCTGCAAAGAGATAAAACTATCAAAAAAAATTTAAACCAGAGAAGGAGCCAAGACACTGGCACAAGCTGCCCAGGGAAGTTGTGGATGCCCCATCTCTGGAGGTATTCAGGCCAGGTTGGGTGGGGCCCAGGGCAGCCCTGCCCATGGCTGGGGTTTGGATCTGAGTGGGCTTTAAGTTCCCTTTCAACTCAAACCATTCTGATTCTGTAAGAAAAGACTGCATGGTGGCAGATGAAGCAGATATTATAGCTAGGCCCTGTTTAGAGATCTCAAAAGCTGTTTAATTGGTAACAGCTGGAACACTCTTACACCAAAGGGAGAGGCTGGAAAAAGATTTGTCACACAGAGTCCAGCCCAGGTGTGGCTGTAGGATTAAATTCAACACTGAGAGGAGTGTTTTGGCTTTGTATCCTATACCTCACCAGCCACTGCTGGAGAACGTATTGCTTGAGTATTAACTACTTCAGCACTGCCATAACTCCTTTTGTCTCCATTCCTCTCTCTCTTCATCATGCTTGAGGTGTTACTCCTTTATCACTCTCATTCTCCAGTTGTCACCATCGAATCTGTAATTCAGATATTTGGGCAAACGTTACAGGAGCAGCACACATTGCAGCACAGGGCCCATGGAGACACTTACAAAACAAGTGTTTACAAGAGGGTAAAGTTGCCCCTCATTCCTTCTCATTCACTGTGGTGGTGGCAGTGGTGGCGGTAGAAAACTCTCCCCACCACATCAGTTTGTTCCTCCAGCTGCTTAAATCTGCCATGCTGTTCTTATACTGCCTACAGAGCCTGGTCTTTCCTCATCAGTCCTTGCTTTAATCAGCTGTGTGTAAGCCTAATGCTCCCACACACCAACTCCTGTGCTATGTCAATCACATCGGAGGAGTTGGAGGGAGGAATAAAACTGATGAGGCTGTGAAGAGTACATCCGTGATGAAAGAAGTGAAGAATCCTATACTGCAGCTGAGTGATGATGTATGGATAAGCAGCTCTATATGCCTATTTGTAATAGGAAAACGTCTCATGGAGTAGCAACACACCTCAGTCATTTCAATTGAGTATTCTCAGGGTGTAAGAGTAATATTTGAAGTTGAGCATAAAATAGCACTTTTAAGAGATATGTGTTGCTGCACTGGTCATGGTGAAAGTTCATAACAGCCCCTACCCTGCCATGTTTCCTTCCTTGGGGGATGAAATATTCCAGCAGGAACAAAAAGAGCTGGAAGAAGAAGCTTGGTGTTGCCAAAATGGCACAGGCCCTTGGCTCTTCTGCCAGGGAGGCAACATTTGAAAGTTTCTTGGGGTTCCACATATCATAAACATATAGAAGAAGGATGATTCAGGTACCCTGGTGTGGAGAACATGCCTCAGTCCTAGCACACGTATGGAATGTTGCTAGAGAGAGCAGTTCCTACTCTTTTCATCACCTATGGCTTTCCTGCTCACCAGGAGAGGATCCAGAGAGGCAGATCTGTGGCCAGTGAAACCTGCTTCCTATGTTACAAAAAGGAACAGGAGACTTGGGAAAGGGGCAATGACACTTTTCTTGGGAAATCTTTCATCAGCTGAACCTTGATTTGAAACCTTCTATTTTACATGCCTGTGAGACACAGCTGGAAATACAAACAAGCCTGCAGTTTTTTGAGTAATTAGACAAATCAGTGGTTAAAAGTAAGATCTCATTTGTGATAGAGGAGTTTGCCGTAATAAGAGGCACCCATCTGTCATACCCAGACCACTTCAGATTTTTCCAAAAGCAGGAAATAAATGCAAAAGCTCAGCATGAGAAATAGACAAATTTATAAACAACCAGAAAAGGGATTATAAAGAAAATGTTGTCAGCTTTAAAGGCAACTGTCAGATTATCAACCATGTTACTGAAATACAGTATGTTTTGCTTTAGAGGATGGGGCAGGAAGTCCAGATCTGAATAATAGGAAGGAACTCTTTCATTAAGGGGCAGTGTTTTGTTGTGGGCTTTTTTTTTTTTGTTTTTGTTTTTGTTTTTGTTTTTTTTTTTTTTGATGGTAATCATGCAAAGCTGCTTTGGCAGAGCTGAAATACTACAGAATATTAAAGAAAACTGTGGAGAGATGGATTAGTATTCAAAACTGCATAATGAAGGTAATGAACTGTTTGATTCCTCCTATCAGATGTATATGTGTACACTTAGAATCATAAAATGATTTGCATTGGAAAGGACCATAAAGATCATCTAGTTCCACCACTGCTACCAGCTCTCCCAAATCTAAGCTTCCTTTTCTTCTGCACTGAATCTGAGGTTACCAGAAGCAAACCCACTAAAAGCAAAGAAAAAAATGAAGAAAGAATTGTTTGGAACAGTGGTACTTTCCATGGCACCAACTAAATAAATGTTTGAACAGCACCTATATGCTTGCAATTTTCAAAAGAGCTACAGATGAAAAACAGCCACTTGTCTTAAATAACATTCCTAGAAAGCCTTCAGTAAATAGAGGATTTGTAACTAAACCACACTGAGATGTGATTCCATCACATTATGCAGAGGGTAGTCAGTATTTTAGTGAAGGCGTGAAATCTGGGAAGCCAAAGCTGGTCTGGAGTAGAATCAGAAGTAAAATCGAGGTGCAACAAAAAGAGCTTCTACAGAAACATCAGGTGAAGAAAAGTGTGTGCCTGCTGCAGAACTGAGTAGTTGACGTAGTGGTGTAGGGCAAGAAAAAGGCTGAGATACTCAACGCCTCTTTTGTCTTGGCCTTTACTGGGAGAAAACTCTTCTGCATCTCACAAGCTTCTGTGCTGGCAGTGGAGTTTGGGTAGAAAGGGAAGCTAGGATCCACATGAAGTCCACTGCATCACACATACTTGAACACTGAGGGAGCTGGCCTCTACTAATGTGTGCTCATTCCTTATATTTGTGGTATTTTGGAGAACGCCACCCATTACTGAAAACAGGCAAATGTCATGTCTTAAAGTTCAGTTATATCTGGCCCAGCTTCCCTGACCTCTGGTTTAACAAATGGGGGGAGAACAGAAGCTGTCATTCAAGTTTGATTTTGTTAAGGCTTTTGATAGGATCTCCCTCAGTAACCTTATAACTGGGGAGATATGGATGGTGGACTACCAACTGGGAAAAAATTGCTGTATCACCAGGCTTGAAGGGTATCTTCAGTTTGAAGTCTGAATGATGCCCTCTTAGGAAGAATTAAGGATCAATACTGGGGTAAGCCCCATTTTG